GACAAACTAGATGACTAGTAAAGCCTCAACTAGAGTATGTACTGCTTACTTCCATCCCTCAAATGATAGGATAGAGAAACTGTAGCCAGCACTACACAGGTAAACAATCTGGAACACAGATGGTGAAAGGATCGGTTCTGGTGTTTCTTTTCTATACACTTTTAAGATCCTCACTGGAGAAAAGAGTATAGTAATGCAGTAGCAGTCAAGAGCACATCTCAAGGTATAGAATGAGAAAAGTAAAGCATTGGGGAAAATATGCTGAGGCTGCTTTTCATCATTGTCATCATCGTCATCATTATCATTTACTTGACTTTCCACTAAAAGATAATGCTTAAGGCGGCTTACAACTTTTTAAAAGAATAAAAATGGACAAGCCTACATTTAACTAAAACATTGATTAAATCATATAAAATCAAATAAAATCATATAAACCCACTCCACAGCAATATTATTTAAACCAAGCAAAATGCATTAAAATGGTTAAAACTGCAAAGGTTAGAGATTAAAACAGCCCAGGTGGGCAGAATAAATGTCATGCCTGTCTAAAAATACCTGCTGAAAAGAGTGTATTCCATAGTCTGCGATCTATATGTGAGAAGTCCCTGTTCCACGTGTTTGTTAGGAGGGGGTTTCTTATTTGTTTGTTTGTTTGTTTATTAAATTTATACCCCACCCATCTAGACCGGCATCCACTCTGGGCGGCTAACAATAAAAAAATAAAATAAAAAATATAATAAAATTAAAAAAACAATAGTAATATAGTTCTTAAATTGTTGGTATTTCCAAAAGGGCTTCAAGTTTGGACGGACTCACAACAAGAGAGGTATTCCCTCAGATATCCAGCCCCTGACCTGCTTAGGCCTTTAAAGTTTAAAATTAACACCTTGAATTGGGGCCGTTAAGCAACTGGCAGTCAATCCAGGTCTTTCAGTACTGGGGTCCTGTGATCATGATACTATGTACCCGTTAGCAACCTAGGTTTCGCACAGTGTACCAACTGAAGATCCCAGACCTTTAACGGCAGCCCCAAATATAGTGCATAGCAGTAGTCTAGGCATGATGTAACTTAAGGCATGGATGGCAGTTCCCAAGTAGGCTCGGCTCAAGAAAGGCCGTAGCTGGGGCAATAAACGGAGTTGTGCAAAATCACTGCTGCCACCTGGGAGTCTTGCAACAGTACAAAGTCAAAGAACACTTCCAAACCATAAACCTGGCTTGTTAAGTGGGGCACAACCCTTTCTACGACTGGTTGAGTCCCAGTTCCCAAATCCAACTTTCTACTCACCCGCAGCATCTCTATCTTGCCATGCTTTAGTTTCAGCTTCTTCACCCTCATGTAGGGCAAAAAATAAAAAGAATAAAATACTTTAACCACCATTTTATATTGATTTTTTTCCCCCAGTGGTGGCAGCAGGAACTTGGGAGCTGCAAGGATGGAACAGTGGGACAAAGGCTGACTTGGAAGCTCAGCATGTCTAGAAGAGTAGCAAACACAATATCTTGATTGCTAGTCATGGCAAATTGGCACCAGTGGATATCCTCTGATTACGTTCTTCTCTAGTGTAAGCAACACCCCAACTCACAAACTATCCTGACTTTCTTTATTCATATTACAGCGTTGTATAATTCAAAATCATGGACACACACAATATATAGGTAAAATCAAAAACTTTTTAAAATGTCAAGACAGGAAGGATGGACATATGGAAAGACGTTCACATTTTATTTTCCACAAAAAGGAGAGAAAGAGAAGTTCAGCTCAGTTTTTTTAGTACATTCTTGTCGTCAGGATAATCCAGCCTTCTCTCCATCCTTGGATCTATGAAGATGAGTTTGCTCTGCTTTGCTCAGAAACAAACAGACAATATTTCAGGACGGACAAGTGGAAACACAGGACGGAGATGAGTTTAACATATGTGCATTTTGCCCAGTTTGTTGTACAATCACTGCCACTTCACAGTCATCCTGTTCCACACAGATTCATGCAATATAGCTGCTGGCAGTTAAACATACAGTATTTTGCTTCTGCTCTTCCACTGTTATATAATTCCAGTGGTGTGTATATTTTCTACCACTGATGCATACATCACCACCTTCTGCCAATTTTGAAACATCATTCCCTGCTTCATTTTGCCCAGACACACTTATCACATTTCTTGCATGCTCAGTACTTCTCATAACAACAAAAAACACTGGGGAGAGAGGCCAGCCTCCATTGCAAATTGCCAAAAGGTGGCTATTGTCAGGAACCTGGAACTATGGATGACTAAATCCAAATTTATAGGTGAGGGAGGAACACAGTTCAGTGGCGCAGCTTGGAAGTAACTAGTACCAACTAACGTAGTTATGCGCAACTGCTTAGTTTTTGGTAATTAATGAGTAATTACAAAGTTACTACTGTATGTAGGGATAATTTTTTAAATTTGATCTTCATTTTAATCATTTTGAAACAAGTTTTTCAGGTTCTATGCCATTCTCTTACCAAACCAAGGGAAAAATATTATTTCACTTTGAGTGGATGGCCCAGGTATATTATTTGGAGCAATCTTTACATCCACACACAAGGACTGACCACACCACACCTCCAATGACCCTATTTAACATCATCTAGACTGATCTTCTTTCTCTTTAACGGGAAAACAAACAAACTGAAAAAGATCCTTCTATCCGAAGAGAAAGAACAAGAAAGCAGGCCTTCTTGGCAGTGGCCGCTCGCCTCTGGAACAATCTTTTTTAAGAGCCAACTCAAGACCTAGCTCTTTTGGCAAGCCTTCCCTCCTGTCTATACCTAATTTACTGTATTTGCTATTTTTAATTGTATTAATGTTGTTGTTCTATTTAAATTTTTTATTCTTGAGTGTTGTTAGCTGCCCAGAGTAGACTTCGGTCTAGATGGGTGGGATATAAATTAAAGAAATAAAATAAAAATAAATAAAATATCTCCTCCTCTCTATGTTGCTCAAGCTGTTTAAACATATTGAGACATGAAAAGCTTCTTTCCTCCTCCCCTGAATAGAGAAAGGGGGACAAAACTTTCTGATTCTTTTTAATTATTGCTAACTGACACAGCACATTAGGGATACAGTACTTTTAAAGGGCTACAGACAAGACTTTTGAAAGCATTGCTGATATCTTAACAACAATTTAAGAAAATTTGAAAACTTCCTTTCTCTTCCCCGCCACATAGAAGTGGGAAGGAAGCTTTCCATTTCACAAGAGCATTAAGTGGAATAATCATAGGGACAGCTTAAGCCAGCTACGTACTTTGGTTTGATCCCAGCAATCGCACACAATGAAATTGAATGGAAACAGAACGATCCTATCTGCTCAAAAAAAAGGGACCTAAAATGTGTGAATCGGGATTGATTAGGGACATGCTGATTCATGATGGTACGTATGTTGTGTGTCGCTGCAGGAAAAAAACAAACCAACCTGTTTCTAACCTGTCTTGCATTTTTCTAAATATTCACAAGGTGCAATATCAGAATTGGTCACAAGAGGGAACTAGAAAACATTTCCTTGCATTCTTCTGGGCTGCTATGCTAATAACACAAAAATGCAAGAAATTACTTGCATGGTGATAACAATGATAAAGGTTAGTGGCAACCAAGCTGCAGAGAAGTAGCATGTAACAGAAATAATTCCTTCTGAAACATAATAGTCCCATATCTACAAATTAGTGAAGAACCTGCTTTGCATGGAGATAGTTCCAAGTTCAGTCCTCCCCATATCATTTTTTCATTAAGAGATACCTGTGATGTAACAACAACAACAAAAAACCAACTTCCTTTCTGACCAAGACTTGGAGAACAGCTCCTCGTCAGAACAGACAACAGTAGGCTCAGTGGACTAATAGTCTGACTTGGTATCAGAGTTTGGTAAGTTACTTTTTAAATGTGTTACGTTCCCTGTTACTCATCACCACATTTAATTAGTAGTACATTGCTATCATTCCTGACAATGTGAACAAAATAACTTTTTGCCTTTTGTCACTTCTTGTTGCTTAAAAATAAAAACAGGATTAATAAATTTCGGGATTAATAAGAGAATGGTCCAGCCAGATGCTTCTTAAAATGCTCTTTAAAAGTGCCTTCAAAAATAGCTAGAAAAGATTACCAACTACACCAACAAAATATTTTTGTTCCTATTTATTGTCTTGCTTTTGGAACGTGACTTAATTACACTGGGTTGTCTCTCCCCAAGAAAACAAAAAAACCCATACCCCAAACAATCCTCTTTTTGACACATATCGGTGTTGTTCTTAATTCCTTACTTCCTAGCTTTGCCTGGTTTCAGGTAGCTTTGCTCCAGAGGGTGGAAGGTGTTCTCCAGATTCAGAACTCTGAGGTCAATATTCATAAAAGGCAGCGCTTGGTTGAAGAGCCATCAGCACATAAACCAGGCTATTTGGATTAATGTCAGGCCGAGCCAGGTCCAAATCCTTGAGGTTACATGCTAATGACAGGGGACAACTCACATATCCCTGTTCTTTTCTGGACATCAAATAATTCTAAGTGTATAAAATGTACTAAGCATATTAAATTTACCAAATCTTCGGCAATATGATTTTTTTTTTTGCGGTAACCCCAGAATCATTATTTATCAGGTATAAACAAGCATGTCTTCCCTGAAATGCACATAGTTCCCATCCATATTTTGTACATTCATACCACAACAGGACACACGGCTATAACAAATCTTCCCAAAGCAACCAGTGGAGATGAGAAAACTATTTGTGGTTACAAAAAGATCTGTGCAAATTGGCAATTAATTTAATGGCAACGTATTAAAAATATAGTAAAATGCCCTACTTTGGGCACATCACGAGGAGGCAGGATTCTCTGGAAAAGACAATAATGCTGGGAAAGGTTGAAGGCAGCAGGAAAAGAGGAAGACTAAATATGAGGTGGACTGACTCCCTAAAGGAAGCCATAGGATCGAGTCTACAAGAGCCGAGCAGGGCTGCTGAGGACCAGACATTTTGGAAATCGCTCATTCATAGGGTCACCATAAACTGGAGGTGACCTGACAGCACACAACAACAACAACAACAAAGGAAAAATCAGAAATATTATTCACATTTGCAATTTCAGGTATTTGTTTCTCAAACAACATGCAGGATATTCTTATGTGCTCTGCACATGGACACACACTCTCCATAAAGCACATACTTGTATCTAATATACACACTGGGTTGTCTACTTCCATGTCACGTGTTTAGATTTGTGCTGTCCCCCCACCTCAGCTTTGTTGCATGTTATGCACAATGTTTTTTGTACATGGGAGTGGGGGGAGTGAGGGATGTGGAATAAATCTTCCAGGAATGTCAGTCTTGCTGTTGACAACTCAGGTTGGTGGGGCCAAGTTGGTGTCGCTACTCCTGCAACGAGAGAGCATTAAAAAAAATACAACATCTTATCCATTAAAAAGAAGCTACATGTTGATGGGGGAGGGGTGACAAAGAAGAGCAACCCTAATTTGGTCAAAACCTTCCTTTTTAATGGAAATGCTAAAAAGATGAAGGATATGTCTTCACAACCCTTACTTTGCTTATGGTGAGGCAATACCTCTCTTTCTTGAAGTAGGGCTAATTTTCACAACTCCTTTTGGAGCAACATACAAACTGTGTACCTGTGCCCAGTTCTGCTTTCACACATATCTGCCTTTGTACATTGAAAGAGATCCTTGGTTGTAGCACAGTTGCTATCACACAAGAAGGCCCTTACAAATCAACACTTTCTCCCTAGTGTGCACTGTTTTTTCTGTCACAAGTATGTGGGTCCATTCCTTTTCCATTAGGAACACCCTTATGTTAACCCCAAAATGTGGGTAAGACACAACAGCAGCCTTGCTTTCTACTTCTCTCTCTCTCTCTCTCTCTCTCTCTCTCTCTCTCTCTCTCTCTCTCTCTCTCTCTCTCTCTCTCTCTCTCTCTCTCTCTCTCTCTCTCTCTCTCTCTCTCTCACACACACACACACACACACCAGGCATATTCTTAACAAATATATCATTCATAGCTGGTATTGAGTTAGAGAGTATCCAATGTGTTGTGTTGAACAGAGTGATGAACTAGGACTATGGAGGCTGGGGTTCAAATCCCCCACACAGCCATGGTAACTCACTGGGGGAGGAGAACTAGTAAAACCACTCCTTAAATATCTCACTTACCTTGAAAGCCCTACATATATAACTAACAGAGAGAGCCTGTTCACGGGGCATTTGTCTCACTATTTGGTGTGCAGGTTGGTCACCATTTTTCCTGGAGTTGATCAATTTGCCACAATTGACACCATTTTGAACCCTTATCAAGGGGTTCTACTATTTTGATGTGAGTTGGAGAGCTCCTGTTTAATTCACTCCCAAGAAGTGGGCTTGCTTGGAATGCACTGAACTAGAACTTTGCCGTTCTTTGTAGTGTCAATTTCCAGCATTCTGAAATGGTTTATGAGCTGCTTCAGGATAATGTAAATTAAACACTTTCCCTGATAATCTACAAGGACAAATGCCTTTTTTTTTTTGCTAGATCATTGCTGATGTGAAGAATCACTTTGATTATTCTTTTTTAAATTTCCTCAATGTCTGTGTATCACTGATCAAGAAACTGCCCACAGCTGTGGTTTCAATCAGCAATACATGGACAGTCAAAGAAAAATATTTTTAAAAATCTAATTGAAGCTATTCATCATATTAGCAACAATCTAATAAATGTTTTTTAAAAAATTGACTTCCCCTGACCCTCTTCAAATGATCAGGGGAAGTTCTGAACAGACATGAAGATCAGTATGCCATTCAGACAGAAGGAGTGCATCAAATGGCATCTTCTCCTGACCTCAACCAACCCTTTGCAGCCCAGTCCAGCCTGTACCAAAATGGCCAGTCTGGACAGGCCCTAAATAAGAAGGTATATCTGAGTTTATCTCATCTATCCCTTGTTCACTGCAAGCAACAACTTCAGTGTCCCAACAGAAAGCGGTCCAGACTCGACTTGATTGTCTCTAGTGAAGGACACTGACCACCTTTGAAAGGCAAGATCTGCTACTGCAGAGCAGTTCTTATCATTATGATAGTTCTCTTTGCCAAAATCTGCTTCTCTGAAAATGTATCTATTTGCTCTAGTCCCATGCTCCAGAGTAACAGCCAACAAGAATTCTGTATAATCTTTCACAGTTTTACAGGTTAGTATAGTACCTCCCCATTAAACTTTGTTTGCACCCTCCCCACACACCATCCTGGTCCCCCTCCTCTGAACAGGCTCCACTTTATTAATTTACTGCGATATCAGCAAAGGAATTGCTTTTTAATGTATTTTAAATCCATCCATCCATCCATCCATCCATCCATCCATCCATCCTGAAAAGGCTCCGCTTTATTAATTTACTGTGATATCAGCAAAGGGATTGCTTTTTAATGGATTTTAAATCCACCCACCCACCCATCCATCCATCCATCCATCCATCCATCATTTGCACCAGAAAGGCTAAGCACCTGAACCACACCATATCTTTGGACTTCTCTCCAGAGAATCCTGCTGCAATGCTGGTTAATGATGGCATAACAGAAAAGATCTATCTAGGGAAAAGAACTAGAGAAGGTGTTCCCTGTCTCTTGTATTGTTTGCTTTAGTTACTGAATTATGCTGGAGATGCTGGAGTTAAACCTGAGACTTTGTGCTTGTATTTGGGCTTTCACTTCCTCTCCAAGGCAAGGCAGGAACAGAGACTGTGCTCCCTCTCACTTGTTCATTTAGACAGTTTGTACTGGAGACCCTACAGGTCCAGGGCACATTTGTGAAAACAAGAATGGGCTGGGACAAGAGGGCTGGGACTTTTTCTCCACCTGGAAAAAGCCCCATGGTGTATTTCATCTTGGTTCATTGAGTATCAACAAATATCCCAATTTGGCTTGAAGAAAAGGCATTTACTTCAAGGTTTTCTCACTGATTTATGAACTTTTTGTGTCCTGCTGATAAGGAACTGACCCTAAAATTTCTTTTGGACTTGTTTTCTTCTAATGGAACAACCTAGCTTTCTGAAATTTTTCTGGCTTCACAGTTTCTTTTCTGAGCTGCTAAATTTCCAGTCCTGATTTCCAGACAGACATGGCTGTTAGGTTCTACACAGTAACAGTTACCTTGAAGTATAATAATCTTCTAAAATAAGAGAATCACAGACTTCTCCTGTTTCGGCCCTCCACCCAGAGCCAACATGGAGAGAAAGTTATATTCTGTACTGCCATTCCTTGTTGAACCAACTGCCTAGCTTTCTGTCAGTTTGCATCACAATCACATTTGTTTTCTAACCTTCCTGAAAGGGGCTCCGGGCGGTATACAGAGATGTCATAGAGCTACCCTCATTTTTATTTTCACATTGGAAATTCATTATGGTGGGATAAATGCAGCTGCAGAGGAGCAAAATGAGATGGGGAATCTTGTGGCCTTCTCACCCCTTCTCAGCTCATCCCTTCTTCTTCTTCTTCTCTCTCTCTCTCTCTCTCTAGATTGTTGCTTTCTTCCCTTGTCTTGCTCTGACCAATCATATCTAGCTCTCAGTTTTCTGGATGCTGATGAAACAAGAGACCTTGGCAGGAGGTGCCAGTGAGTGTTGTACCTGTTGTAGGGTGGAGGGGGTGCATCATGCACACCTGGAGCTGCCATCGCTTGCTCATAGGATGGAAGCCCTGGTGCTGTTTCAGGCTTTGGAGCCCCATCAAAGCTGGCGAGGGGCACCCCAGGATGCAAGCTGTCTTCAGTCCTAGGGAAGGAAGCAGATACAACAAGAAAGTGACCCACAAATTATTCTCATGCACTTGAGTTGCTGGCTTGCAAGCCCCCTTTAAAATATTTTAGAAAAGCATCTGCTACCGAAGGGCTTTTTCCTCTCCTAGAACAGTGGTTCCCAACCTTGGGTAACCCAGGAGTTCTTGGACTATTGCCCCGGCCAGCACAACTGGTGGTGAAGGCATCTGGGAACTGCAGTCTAACAACATCTGGCCTAGAATACATGTTTTGACTCAAAGGACTTTGTGTCCTTGAGGAACATCCAGCCAACAGTCTCTATGAAGCTGGATCCTCCATGATCAAACTCCTCAGGAGCCATGGTGACATCACTGTTAATTCCAGTCCACCATCAGTCTATGCATTTTGACCAGAAAAGGTAGAGGCCTTCCAGAACTGAATGTTCCTCCAAACACTAAGTGCTATAAGTGTGAAGGAAAAAGATGTGCAGCTTGTCCAACTGAAGCATTCAAATTCAATAGGAGATTAAATGTTAAAATAACAGGCCACCACACAGGCAAAGTAAGAGCTGTTTTCTCCTATAACACTGGGAAAGGTACCACATTTAACCACATTAAATCAAGCCTGGAAAACTACTGGTTTTTAGCAATGATCATAGTACTGTTCACTTGTCAGCAATCTCCTTGCTACTTCTTACATCAGAAGTCTGCAACTTGCAGGCAGCCATGCAAGGCCATTTGGAAAACCCTTGCCACACCCTCAAAATCACACCACTGAAATTGTACCAAAGTGTAGCACCAAATAGGGAAACCCCACTTAAAGTAAAGGTGCTTACTTTAAATGATGCTTTCTCCATTTATTGCCATATTTTAGCAGCCAACGGCTGAAAGCCATTTAAAGCAAACCATATTTTTTCTTTAAATGGGCTTGCTAACAAAACCGTGGCTACAATGTGGGTGGATTGGAGGGGGGACTGATTTTCAGAGAGAATAAATTTGCCTACCCATTTTACACCAATTGAAGAGTCCAGAAGAGATTAAAAACCAGTCTCAGCCAGATTTGCTGTCTATCAACAGCATTTCATCTTATTTGTGTTTAATCTGAGTTAGTTCACACACTCATCCAGTTCATTACAAAATACAGGCAATGTTCAGGTGTATGGACCACTTCCTTAGAATTACGTAGATGCGTACTGATGGCATCTTATGCCAAATTTCTGGAAAACAATTGCTAGCTTTTTCATGTAGATGCTAAATCAAGTACTATAGAGATGATGGGACAGAACCCTGTGGGATAACACAGATCAAGGGCCATGGTGCCAGACAATTGCCCTCTAGGACCACCTTCTGAACATAACCTGACAGGAAGGAAACACCGCAATATAGTGCTCCCAAGGCCCTGCAAGTTCAGAAAGGCTGCTGGGAGGCCCAAGACAAGACAATGGAGAGATCCAAGGGACCTTATAGATCCATAGTTCCCATCCCTCACCTCTCAATTTAAGTGATTCACAGGGACAATCAATACAGCCTCCGACCCATATCAGGCTGGCTGAAATGGGTCCAGATAATCAGTACCATCCAAACACATGTGAGCCACAATGTTATTGGGGTTTTACTCCTGAGTAAGGAGAATTGCATAAATCAAGGCAGAAAATGGTAGCTGATTAACAAGGTGCAGCTCATGTGCCAGCTTGTCTAGGCAGTCATGTGACTAACACCTGACCTGCCATGTGAGTGGCACCCTGTTAAGTATCTGCAATTTGCTACCACGACTTAGGCAATTTCATTTATTCAAGAGTAAAACCCATTCTGGCCCTGGAGCTGCAAGATGACCAGTCTCTTATCACCATAGCTAAGAACGTTATTCATTCATTTCACAGCCATTTAACTCCCTCTTTGACCATTTTCTTCCTCTAAAGCAGCCATAGATAGTTGCCAAGTGAACACAATACTTCAAGCGTCTGATGAAAACACTGAAGTCATAAGACCCCTTGTTTCTGCTGCCTACAAAGTTACACTGCTAGTCCTCAAGGAACTGAACTTTCTGTTAGCACTGCAGAAGTCATGCTGTTTTGAAAACACTGCAAGTGCCCCCCCCCAATAACCTTCAGCTTGGGTGGGGGTGGAAATTTGAAAAGATGACATTTGGATATCACTGGCAACATGCCCTCATTGGGTCCGCCTTTTTGCTCTCATTCCGCTGGCGTTGATCATTTTGCCCCATTCGAGAAACAAAACCCCATGAATCTGACATTCTAGTAGTACAAAAGTCCCTTATTGTTTCTTGTGCAAACCGCACAAACCTAAATATGAATTTATATGACTGAGCAATACAAATCTTCCAATGTTCATAACTCTGTAAGATTTTCAATAAATAACATGATAGAAAGGACCATCCAGCACAGCTTTTCCTAGTTTGGCTATATATTAAATCTAAATTGCCTCTAAAGCTGCTATTTACCCCATTGGGAGAAAAGGTGCAGAAGAAAAAGGAATAACCGCATCCCGTGTCAATTACAAGAGAGCTGGTCAAGGATACAGTTCTAGTCTGGGTGTAGGCCACTGGGACTGTTTCTCTCTTTCCCTGTTATCTCTCTCTCACACACAAAACACCATCTCCCTTTGGTCCCTAACTCATACCTGGACCGATTCCTCTCTTTAGCCCGGTATCTGAAACAATACAAGGCCACAACTGCAAACATGACCAGAGAAAACAATGCTGCGATGAGGCCAGATACCAAACCAGCTACGTCCACGCCAGGGGTTCCTGTGGAAACAGGAGAAATTAAGGGGAGCTTAATTGCAGTAGATATGCTTGCCTTGCCTTGATGTAACTCGAATGTAGAAGTGGGGATCTGCATATAGAGAAATGGGAATTCCCTCCCTCCCTCCTTTATCCCGCAGTCCTCTGTGGCCCTTTTTGGTGGTGGAGGCATGATCATGACCCTTGTCATCCTTAGATCCCCAGGCATACTAGCACTAGGTGGAGCTTTGGCACAAGGCATTTCAACCAAAATCTTCTCATTCTGCCAGTTCACGTTGTTTTTTAGCTATACTAGCCAACAAATACTGTTAAGTCTGCATGTATTACTATATTAATACAAGCAATTATATCTAATCACTCCACCCTGGTCACACTCACCACCATATCGTAAATCATTTCATTAACAGGGCTTGGAATTTCTACTTTTTTTTGGGACTACCACTTCTAGAATCTCTCACCCGGCATGGTCCTGGCCATGCGAGATTCAGGGAAATGTAGTCCTCCGTGTAACTTTTCTAAGCTCTGCTAATAAAGAAGGGTATGTTAAATGGCCACAAAAGGTTCCATCTATTGTACCTCTAGGGCAGCGATGGGGAACCTATGGCACGCGTGCCACACCTGGCACACAGAGCCCTTTCTGTGGACATGTGAGCCATAAGTCACTGGATTGCTACTCCCCCAACCCCACAGCCAGACCTCAGGAGGTGGCTGCAGCCATGGTGCTGGCACTTCGGCAGGTGGCAGGCCAGGACCCAGAGCAGCTGGCACTGGCGGCGGATCCAGAGTGGGATCTCAAGGCACCTCTGTGCCCAGGATTTGCCCTTCTGCCACCCCTTTTGTTTCCGCCGCTGCCACTTCCAGTTCTGCAGCATGCTGCCTGCTGGTGGTTTTTTTTTCCAGTTTGACTACTTGGGCCCAAAAAGGTTCACCGCCACTGCTCTAGGGGATAGAAAAACCAAATTCTTCTGTTATAACATAGAAAGGTCTTTTGGCAAATAGAACAGGAGCTTCCCTCATCCTAGTATTAGCTGATTCAGGATAGATAATGAGGTGTAAAGAAAGAGAGACAGCAGGTGGGCTGCTTTATTGGCATTTACTCACCTGCTCCTCCTTTCCCATTGTGTGGGTAGGTTTCCCAGAACTGCTCCTGCAAGACAGAACCAAAACAGAGCATTAATATGACATTGGTGAAAAACAACAGCTTTCTCACCCTAAATGGCTTCAGTTCAGGATATCTGGGGGGGCTGCCTCCTCACATATCAGCTTGCTAACTCCCTATAATCTAATAGCATCTAAGGGCATTATTTCTGTCCCAACAGAGTCTCATGACTGAAGGGAACAAGAAGATGGACCTTCTCTGTGGCCACACCTGAGCTGTGAAAATTATTTACTCCAATAGCTTAGTCTGCAACATCTTTGATAGCATTCTGTCATTGACAGCATTCTGTAAATACAGTAGAACTCCCATATCTGCAGGATCAGTATCTACAGTTTCATTTATCCGTGGTTTAAAAGTATTAAAAATATTAAGAGAAAAACATATATTACAAGAACCGGCCACTAGAGGGAGGCACAGACCATGCTATGAATACTTGTTAGTGAAGAATACATACCCCGTTCCTCCAAAAATAAGACCTAACCTGAAAATAAGCCCTAATATGATTTTTCAGGATGCTTGTAATATAAGCCCTACCCCCAAAATAAGCCCTAGTTAAGTGACACCCTGCCCTTCACCATTGCGCAGCAACCAGAAGTAGATGACATGACTGTATTTGAATCAGTATAGATGGTTGTACATGAAAAAAATAAAATGTAGCTCCATTGATGTTTGCTATTCGGGAGGTTGTTCAGGCTTCCACCGGCTTCTCTCCATTCAAGATGATGTATGGATGGAACCCCAGAGGAATCCTAGATCTAGTAAAAGATAAGTGGGAGATTGGGAAGGATGAAGCCCAAATAGTGTTGCAGCAGGTGACTGAAATGCACGAACACTTACGGAAGGCGGCAGAGATAGCGAGGGAGAACTTACAAAGGGCTCAACAGGGACAGAAGAGGAGATAGGATTCAAAGGTCAAATCTAGACTGAACCCAGGCATAAAGTATTACTGTTGATGCCTGCAGAAAATGCTAAGTTATTTGCCAAGTGGCAGGGCCCGTATGAGGTCCTTCGGAAAGTGGGACCTGTAGATTATGAAATACTGATGCAGGATAATAAGAAGAAAGGGATCTTCCATGTAAATCTATTGAAAGAATGGAGGGGGAAGCATTATGGGGAGAAATAGGGGAGGAGAATTTCAGCCCAGAAGCTAAGAGTTGTCTGCAGAAGGATCTAAGAATTACTATAAGCGAGGATTTGGACAAAAGACAACAATTGAAAGACAAGAATTCCAGGATGTTTTTTTGAGGATTACTGGGTCACACAACCCTAATAGAACATCCAATTAACACAACACCCTAGGTAGTGGTGTGGTCAGGAGGAAGAAATTGGCATCATCACCTAAAGGAGACCATTAACAGAGAGATTGAAGAGATGCTAGAACTAGGGGTGATAGAGCCATCACATATCCCTTGGCGAAGCTACCTGGTGGTGGTTCCAAAGGCAGATGGGAGTGTACGATTATGTATAGATTTAGGAGGCTGAATGAGGTATCTAAGTTTGATGCTTACCCTATGCCCGATAGAAGATCTGCTGGAGAGGTTAGGAAAGGCGGAGTACCTGACATCTGGAGATCTCAAGAAAGGGTATTGGCAGATCCCTTGAGAGAAGAAGATAAGGAGAAGATGGTCTTTGTCACACCTAAGGGGCTGTTCCATTTCTCCCGAATGCCATTTGGGTTGCATGGAGCTGCGGCTACCTTTCAAAGATTGATGGACAGGGTGTTAGAACCAGTGAGGGAATTCTTAAGTGCCTATATTGATGACATACTGATCTATAGTAATAGTTGGAAGGAACACCTAATCCATCTTCGCAGAGTGTTGACAGAACTGGGGAAGGCAGGGCTGAGAGTGAACCCTGTAAAGTGTAAGATAGCATGGAAGGGAGTAAAGTTTTTAGGCTTCCAAGTGGAACAAGGGAAGATCCAGCCGGTATCAGATAAAGTTGATAAGGTAACCACCTGGGTCATCCCCCAAACTAAGAAGGAGGTGCAACAATTTTGGGACCTGGCTGGATATTATCGCCAGTTTGTCCCCAACTTCGCAGAGATAGCTACCCTCTTACTGATTTAACTAGGAAGAGAAAATCAAATAAGGTAATCTCAGGAAAGCGGGAACAAAGGGCAGAAGTTAAAGGAGATATTGGCAGAACTACCGAGCAGATATGCTCCTGATTTCAACTTACCTTTTATAGTGCAGACGGATGCCTCGGACAGGGGAATAAGGGCAGTGTTGTCACAAAAGAAAGGGGAAGTGGAGTAGCCGGTGATGTATCTCAGTAAAAAATTGAATGCCCGAGAACAGACGTATGCTACCATTGAAAAGGAAGCCTTAGCAGCTAAATGGACAATCCAGACACTCAGATATTATCTGTTGGGATCTCGTTTCACATTGGTCACAGATCACACCCCATTGCAATGGTTGAACTGGATGAAGGATACTAATCCTAGGTTGACACGTGAGTACCTGAGTCTCCAATCGTTTACATTCAAAGTAAAGTATAAAAAGGGAAGCACTCACGCTAACGCTGATTATTTTTCTTGACAGGGAGAATGGGATGCCAAGACAGAAGAGAGGACGGCCCACTCATTGGGGTGTGTGTGAAAGACAGAAGGCTAGTGTGCTGTCCTCAGCAGATGATAGAAAGGTGGAGACATCCAAGTGTGTAGAGGGAGAAATCATAAAAATGGAGGAGGATGAATTCGAGGGAAAGAAAGCCATAGAGATATGCTTGGTGGAAGAGAAGGAGGGAGACAAAGGAGAGGGGTAAGATCTGATATTATGGGAGGAAGCTATAAAAGGAGGGGGAGAAGAGCGGGAATTTAGAATCGAAGTGGGCAAGAAAGATGGGAGCATGAAAGACCGCGCGGTACAGACTGACAGGATAGAAGACCACACTAATAAGGTCTGTGACTTGCTAAAGGACTTCCCAAACCTCAAGGCGGGTGGAGGATTGCTCCCTGATCCCTCTTCTCCCTGGAGTGGAGAGAGGGTTGACAAGCCCCTAGAATGGATGGTTGTGGTTTACCCCCCCGAAACCAAGGTGGAGGTAGGTAGGTGATCCATCCCGGTCCTTTATGCTAGTGGTTCCCAACTTTGGGCCTCCAGATGTTTTTGGACTTCAACTCCCAGAAACCCTGGCCAGCAGAGGTGGTGGTGAAGGCTTCTGGGAGTTGTAGTCCAAGAACATCTGGAGGCCCAAGGTTGGGGACCACTGCTTTATGCAATACCCCACCCAAGGAGGGGGATTGGACGAGGCATCTGTGTTGTGGGATGGTGTGTTCAGTGAGGAGTAATCCGATGCGGCAGATGTCAGACCGATAACGCTTTGGTGCAGCCTCTAAGTGAGAGAAGGAGTGTACGCATCAGAACCGAAGTTGTTAAGTTATGGACTGATACCTGAGTTGAGTAATGTTGACCCGTTTAGTAATGTTAACCAAGAAACAGAAGAGAATAAAGTAAAATTTGTTGGACAGTTAAAGTCACCTCCGTCTCTCATTCCCGCCAAAATGAAGGAACCATCACCGATTTCTGAAGAACCCAATCACAGGCACCATCCTGTCCTTTATTTTAGGCAGGAAAATGACTCGTGCTGACTTTCCATCCCATAATCCACAGTCTTCTCTCTCTCTCTCCCCCTCTCTCTTTTTTTTACTCTCTCCGGGAGAGACTCTCAGCTCTCCTCTCATACTCTGCGACTAACATATCTCATAATTATACTCTCTAAGTAAATGAGCCGTGCAATCAAAAAACAATTAGCGCAATGCATTCCGTTTGGAGACTGTTCTTAGTGCAGACATTTAAGCTCAAGCAAATTGGATGTCTCCAAGCTTTTCCCCAGTGTGAAACCCATTTCAGCAACAAAATTTGCATGCTTCCACCCTAGTGGCTATGCCATAGATCATCTAACAAGAGAATAATAACCACATTTTGGGTGATGGGGACACTTTAACTTGCTGCTGAAGGCTGGACTTCTCTAAACGCAAAAGTATAAAACCTAGGGCCCTTTAAGCTGCCCCAAAGGATCATTGCCAAAATATCTGAATAAGAGAGTCCATTACTTCCTGTTCTTTCCCAGTGAGAGAGTAGAGCCAGCACTACCAGCACTATCTACCATTAGACAGAGTGAAACAGTTGCCCATGGGATCAGATGCTAGTAGGCATCAGAAAGTATTGACAGTGAGAACGGTTTGCTCTGTGGCTCAATCTGTACCCTCGAAGCTTGTCTGTTGCCTCCAGATAGGGTAGAAGACATTGCTCCATTAGCAGTCCTTAAGAAAGATTCAACTGCCTGTATCGCCAGCTTTTGTACACACAAAGGGGAATTATCTTGATCTTTGCCTCCAGCAGTAGAATGTCTTATGTCATCCCCAAAATAATTTTTAATTTCCAAAATTATGAGTGAAAGAGAAACAATTAGTAAAAGTGAAAGAAGAAAATGCCAAAACAAGATTATCATTGAACATCAAGAAGACTAAAATCATGACAACAGTTGGATATACACAACTTTGACATTGACAAGGAAGAAACCGAAGTGGTTAGAGATTTGGTACATGTCGGTTCAGTCATGAATCCAAATGGAGACTGCAACCAAGAAATCATAATAAGACTAAGACTTGGAAGGGCAACAATGAAGTACAGTGGTGCCTAACACAGCGAGGTTAATCCATTCTGGATTAACCCTCGCTGTGTGAACTGTCATATTTCCAGTCATCATGCATAGGTGTGAAAGCTAGACAGTAAAGAAACCTGACAAGAAAAAAACCTGATTTGTTTGAAATGTGGTGCTGGAGGAGAGCTTTGTGGACACCGTGGACAAACAAGAGGGTCCAAGATCAAAGCAAGCCTGAACTATCTCTGGAGGAAAATTTTTGAAACTGAGACTGTCCTACTTTGGGCACATCAAGAGAAGATAAGGATTGTCAGGAAAAGACAATAATGCTGGAAAAGGTTGAAGGCAGCAGGAAAAGAAGAAGACCAAATAAGAGATGA